ACTCAGAGTAATACATTACTAGCAGTGATGCCATACTGCATTGTGGTTTAATTGTGCTTAATGGAGTCCTGCAGTCTCTGTGATTTAGCTGCACACGTCAAAGCACGGCAATTCCCAGTTCATCTGCCTGGAGAAAAACACAGCAGCTTTACATAACCCACTTGAGAGAATATTAGAAGCACCTCAGATATTCTGCCTTCCCTCACCTCCTTCAGTTTACCTTTCTCTTCTCTGGCATATCAATGTAACAAATTCAAACAAGACCAAAAAACCAAATTAAACAACCCCCTCCCATAAACACATCTTCACCCCAAATATGTATTTCCCCACCCAGTATTCTCTCCCATCTTAGTTCTGTTTTCTGCTAGACAGGGAACACACCTCAGCAGGTGTTTTTTGTCATCCATCCAAAGCCATTCACCCTTTAACAGCATATGGATGATGAGAGAGTTGGAATTGACATGTCAAACCACAGGTCACAATTACACTGCCAAAGCCCTCCAGGAAAAGAAGGAAACTGGAACTTGACCATTCTGGTGCCTTCTAAAATCAGAATAGTAGTTTTGCTAGTGGGTGGGTATAAGAGGCTGGAGTCTTTCTGTTGTGGAAGATAGTGACAGAGTCAACATTAGAATTTAGTATGACTAAGACTTTATCTGAAGTCTTATAACACTATCTTCAATACACTTAAAGCAATAAAAAAAGTTAACATTTTTTTTATGCTGTTTGCTCTTAATTAGGTAAATTTCTTAAAAGTATCTAACTTTTGGAAGGTAGTTTGCAGTCCTACCTTTTTTTTAACATGTGCATTTTGATACATTTTGATATACAAAATAACTCATATTTTGCTTCTGCTTATTGGTGGAAAGAAATTAGCTAAAACACTAAAATTTTAGAGTGTTCCCATTTCATTTGTCTTAAACCAAGACAAAAATTCAGTTATTTAAAAAAACAAAAAAGTGATACAGTAAGCACCAAGGCTGGCTGTGCAAAACAGCTGTACCATTAAAATGTATACACCAATATGTCTATAAGTCATCTTTAGTTATGCAATAGTTGCCTTTTGTCTTTTTACACATTAAATTTAGGACTAGTTTCTTGCTGAATCATATCAAAGCCCAGCTTGTCTAGCCAGGAGACACTGACTGAACCAGTCACGGTTCCTTTACAGTGGCCCCAGTTACAGATATAGCTTTAAATATGGCAGAATCAAAAGTCCAGCTGAGCCTGATGGGTAGATAATGCTATGTGCAGGAAAATCTGAAGTAGAAGGCAGGAAATTTCTTCATCTTGTCATTTTTGTCCTAATAGAGCAACAGGATAGACTATAAAGACATTGGCATCCGGGAAAATTAGACTCTACAGAAACCACCATATAACCCACTCACACATGCACATGTTTATATAAATGTCTGTTTCATGACAGAGGTTTTAAAATAAAAAAAAAAAAAAAAAGATGGTTTGGATTTCAGAATTCCATTTAACTTTGAAATAGTTTATTTCCAATCTATGTTGCTTCTGCAGCTGCTGCTGTGTGCTTTTTAGCTAATCATGAGCTGTCAGTTTGTGCCCTTTGCTGGGTCTGATGGCAGCACCTAAGTGCCAGTGTGATTTTTTGTGTAACATTGCCTCAGCTCTTGATGCCCCTTACAAAAGTAAGCACTGAATGCCAATGCATTTTCTTTGCCCCTTCTTTGTTGCTAATGCCAGAGGACCATTTAAATATATGGAAATTATGCTATCTCTTGCATGTTTACAGCTGAAGGAAACTCCTTTGTGGTCTCCTTAAAACACCACTTAGATTACACCACAAATTAGATTTGTGCACTCAAAGTTTTATTTGTTTCAAACTTCTAAATATAAGTTAATTCCTTTTTCCATTTGGTCTAACTTTAGACCTTTTAAAGTTAGTCTGTTCTAGCACACCAGTAGAAAAAGGGCTGTAGAGCTCTTCGCACATCTCATGTTGCTCTCAAGTGCACCAAGCATTAGCATGCACATAGGGACCCTCAGCACCCTCTCCTTAAAACCAAAGGTATTCACTGCTGGGTCTGTTGTCTTGCATTAGATCAGAGAGAACAACTAAGCATGGAGGCAACCAGGAGACTAATGGAGATTAATGCAGACTTTCACTAGATTTTGTATACAGTAATAAAATAACTTTATGGATTGGGAGAGGGAAGGATTCATACAGCTGTATTATTAACATCCAGGATTGTGTTTATTTCTTACTCTCAAAAATATTCTCAAAAGAGTCACACGATATTTATTATTAAACAGGATGACTACTGCCATCTGTCACATCAGGAAACATCAGCATATCAGTTGCTACTTGATGTTAGAAATCATAGTGGGAATGCTGGTTTTTAGGGGAAATAGCCAGCCTCTCTTGCACAATAAAAGAAGCCCTCAATACAGAAGGTATTTATTACATTTAAATTATTTGGAATGCAGCTGTGTAAAGTTGTCATTTTAGGACCATATGAGTTTAGATGATGAAGAATGAGTAGGCGTCTGTAGGTGGAAACAGGAGCCAATTTGAGTGAGTTTAGTTACACTGCATTAAGGTATTAATTTTAACATTCAAAAAGCTGGCACTCATGCCGGATTGCAGTGGCTGTGAAAAATATAGTCAGAAAGCTAAAATCAGTGGATTCCTTTCTACCTTCTTCTTTTAGTTTCAATTAATAGATTAGGGGAAAAAAATTCTGTCACTTTTTTATCACTATTCACTCTAGAGCAGGATTATCAAGCGATGATGCAGAACAAAAAGTAGACTCATCATAAAATCTACTGCAGTAATTTAGTTTCAGATTAAGACCATGCTTGGAATGTGTTTACGCTTTCAACTTTGGTGTATGTTGAGCATGTTTAACAGTTAAGGGAAATAGCATAAGAGAAAATACATTTATTTGTGTAGAATGCCTTTATATATTTGTGTGAATACATATATATAAATTATATGAAATAGGATGGTTTATACAATGCACACCTTCTAGAGAAGAGAGAATAGTCAGGGAATTCTGTGTTTTGAATAAATTCTCTCTTCCTACCTTCTGCTCCATGACATTCCAACACAGTCATGATTCGTATCAGCAAGTTGTACTTCAGCTAACAGAGGCTAAGCAGCCAGCTTAGCAACTTCATTTAGGGAAGCTCTCTCATCTCATATGACAATGACTACATGTAAGCCAGCAGGTCTGGCAAACAAACCTCTGGAAGAGAGTATTTTCACTTATCTCTCTTGAAACCCTAATGGCAGAAGTGTCAAGTGAGGGATCTTACTCAAAGCTATGGATTTACAGCCTGGATATCCAAAAGAAGAAAAACATTGCTGTTAAAATAATTTCCAATGTCTGACTGATTGTCAAAATTAGCCTATCTTAACCTTACTAAGCCAATTGCAATGGTTTTCCTTCTATTTTCTTTAAGCTAACATTAGTGCGCCTTGCAAACACATGTGTGTACGCACACACACATATCTGCATATGTATATAAGTGTGAGGTATATATAGGTATATAAGTGTACTGCACAGTTGCCTGGTGCAGTAGGAGTATCTCTGTGACTGCCCCACTCCCTGGTGCCTTGGCATAACAGGTGTGAGGCTCTGCAAGTGGAACTGAACAATGGTGACAATGGTTCCTCTGCCATGGAAACATCACCAAGGTGATGTCAGCCTATGCCCCTTGTTCAAACTGCTACCATAAAAAATAATAAAAAAAAAAAGGCAGGTCACCATTGTGGAAGACTGTCTTCTGAAGGGAGCAGAAGGCCTGATATGCCAACAGGACCCACTTCTTTGAAAACTCTGCAGTCTCCCCGGGGCCAGGGTTGAAGATGTGGATGGAAAGGTTCCTACCCTGATACAGCCTTCAGATTATTGTCCATTATTGATTTCTCAGGTAGGCAGTGATAAAGTTGCAGCTAGAAGACTAAGGGGAATCAGGAGGTTGATTATTCAGGGCCTTGGGACACCTGCTTGAGGGATCAGGAGCACAAGCAGTATTCTTCTCTGTCCTTCCAGTCACAGGGAATGAGGATGCAAGAAGACACATGAGCCAGCAGATCAGTACCTTGCTCTGAGCCCTTCCGTACAAGAAAGGCATTGAGGTGCTGGAGCGTGTCCAGAGAAGGGAACAGAGCTGGTGAAGGGTCTGGAGCAAAAATCCAATGAGGAACAGCTGAGGGGCCTGGGATTGATTAGCCTGGAGAAAAGGAGTCTGAGGAGGGACTTCACACTCTCATTAATCACCTGAAAGGTGTTTGTAGTGAGGTAGGAGTTGGGCTCTTCTCCCAGGTGTCAAGTGACAGGATGAGAGAAAATGGGCTCAAGTTGTGTTGAAGGACATTTGTATTGGATATTAGGAAAAATTTCTTCACAGCAAGTGTTGTCAAGCATTGGAGCAGGTTGCCCAGGGAAATGGTGTAGTCACCATTTCTGGAGGTATTTAGAAGACATGTAGATGTGGAGTTTAGGGGTATGGTTTAGTGGTGGACTTGGGAGTGCTACATTAACAGTTGAACCAAGAAGTCTTAAAGGCCTTTCCCAACCTAAGCAATTATATGATTCTGTGAAAAAATATAAAGAATGTTTAATGAGTTATTTGTACACCTGTGAAAGAGTTGTGGACAAAAAGACACAGCTGAGAGCTTATTTCCTTAAAAGCTTTGGCTGCCTTCCCCCTCCCTCTGGTTTCTGGATTTGCCTATTTACCATGTGTGTAGAGCATTAGCCTAGAAGAGAAATTGTAGTGAATACACCTGGAAAGATCCACTGGGTGAAGTTTGTGCAGCCTGTCATTAGAAAGCCCAGTTAGTTAAATTTTGTCTCTTTTTGTAAGTTAAATCTAGGCAGATAGACTAAGTATCACAAACATTCAGATTCTGATAACAGTGCTCAAAGAATAATTTTTCATCTTTAATAATTTCTCCTGGCTTGTGTTTGGCATGGAATTTTATTTTCATTTTATGATTTCCCAATTTCCTTAATTTCCTTTAGGAGAGAGAAACAGAAGAAGGAGATGTCAGGTGGCTTTCAGTTACATGCCTCAAAATGAAGATGAATTGGAATTAAAAGTTGGTGACATCATTGAAGTTGTGGGAGAGGTGAGCATATCTTTAATTTAATATACACACATGTATTTCTGACATGTCTTGTGCATGCTAAGCTCCTCAGTGCATAATTTAAACCAGACATTTTTCTTCTCTGCTATACTGACATGTCTGATTTGGGTTACTGTTGGGGATTAGGGGATGTTGGTTATTTTCTTATGGATTTTGTGCTTTTTTTTTTCTCCTGTAGCATTTCTGCTGGTTTTACATCAGTTGATGTCTCAGAGTTATGTTCAGGGAAAGAGCTCCAAGTTTGTGTTACACAGCTCTTGAGTTTTTATCTCTGAAGAACCAAAGATTACAGCAGAAGAAACTTTTTGCAGTTTTAGTAAGCCAGCCACAGGGAAAAATTACCTTTGCAAAGTTAAACACATTTAACAAATTTACTTGAATCTCTACTGGAGTTCACCTTTTGTCATCTTTGACAGAAAATTTTAAAGATGTCATTTTGGTCTTAGTCAGTTTTTTAAAAACCCGTAAAACCAAATAAAACCCCCCAACAAAATATTTAGAGATTCAAGATGCACTTATTTTGGTTAGAACTGGATGTGGAAAATTAATTACATGAGCTAGGAATAAATTATGCAAACTTGGACAAAGAGACAGAGATTTTCTTTTCTGGGTGACTCTGGCTGCAGGATCAAGAAATGATGTTTGCTCCCAATACCTTTAGTGTTCCATTAGAGATTTTGCAAATATCTTCTTGATAGCATGAGGACCAAACTCAGAATCATAACATGCATGCTTTAAGTAGAATACATTTAAACTCATTTATTCTTATTTACTTAGCTTTAAAAAAGGACCTTAGTCTGCTCAGGCGGCCAACATGTGTGTTGCAGTTTGTATCATTTATTTGTAAATTTTTTTTCTCTGCCATGACTCAGCAGTTAGTAATTCAACATTCGTTTTCTTGTCTAGGATATATAGTTAATTTACTTTTTCCTGCATCTATCACTTAAGCAATTTGAAAAGAATATAAATTCTGCTGTAATCTATATGGCATCCAGCATTATTTTGTAAGAGATTAAATTCTCACATCTGAATGTAAGAAGCTTAGTGATCACTGGTTTTGCTCAAACCTAACTGTGCCCACCAGCTCTGCACATCATTCTTCCCCTGGAATCAGACATGATGTGTCACTTAACCAACCTTATTCTGTTGGTGAGGAGTTTTGTAATGGGGGAATTCAAGGTTATAAGAGCATATTTTGATCATAATGTAAACCCCACATCACAGTAAGTTTCATGACATCACATGAACTGTTTTCATTGGGCAATTTGAGGTATATTTCACCTCACACGCCCACACAAATGCTACTTAAAAGTTTTAAGTCTGTATCTTTTAAGGGTAAATTGATGGAATAAAACCTTTTCCTAGTATCCAGCCAACAAATTAACTCTACTGAATGAATTACATGATTAAATAATTTAGATTGCACACTAGGCGTCTCTTATGGAAAATATCTTGTTGTTTTTTAAATTTGAAAAACTTAATTATGCATACATGATTTATTTATATCCAAAAGAGACTGAAAATATCAACATTAAAATTGAAAAATGTAGAACTATAAAAGTGAAACATTCTATGTACTTGCATGTATGTGCTTATAGTTAAGATCATGTTTTTTGAAACCCACTTGGGTTCCTCTTTTGGGTGAAAGTAAATTAGCTCGTTGAACAGGGAAAATAGGAAACTAAACAAAAATTGTCAGTGCTTCAGAAAGTATTGTTGTGGGACCTTTCTTTTCCATTATGGTTGGTACCAAGCAGTTGATGTTGACCACTTCTTGTAATTTCTTCTTCTGCTGTTATAATAGTATAAATTCCTCGAAAAATTAGACCAGAATGTTTCTTTTGAAACAGGAACTTTATTTGATGCAGAAAGTTGCACCAATGAATGTGCTTATTTAATTCTTAACACTTCTGCTTTTAAGTAATGCTGCATAAAGAGTCATTGCATTGGACTAGAAATCATAGTGGTTTTGTCATTATACAATACTTCTTATTTCAAATGATAAATATTTGATATAGTCAACTTATTGTTTAAAAAACATGTCTTCCTCAGTTGTAAAAGTTGAAGATTTTTTATGTAAGGGCCAAAGTGATGCTCTGTTATTGTACAAAACCCCTCCAAAGAACCAGAGAAAAGCCTTTCCACATAGGCAACAATTTGAGATAATTCTTATAAAATACAGGTTTTGTTTATCTTTACTCAGGATTAAAAACTGGATGATCTCTTTCACATTATTTAGAGCAGTTCAGTGTAATTTGAACATTAATGGTAATTCACTTTCCATTTCCAATTGCTCTTTTCTCTTATCCCATCTTTTTATTAATTAATAGGTCTCAGATTCCCACAGATAGTATTTTTTGTATCGTCCTAAGAAAGCTGTATCAGTTGAATTCATTAGTTTAATTGACTTGGATTAATATTTTAAAATCTCCATGGATTTCTGCTTAGTTGAAAATAAATCGATTCCTAACTGAGTTACAGCAAATAAAACTGGTATTATTTAGGTCAAAGTACCATCTATATGTCTTCATGTAGTTATTGAGGAAAAAAAAAAAGTAAAAATGTTGCTTCTGATTGAACAACTCACTAAGCTTTTCCTGTTAAAAAGAAAAGCTAATTGGACTTCATTATTAAATAAATGTTCTCTGCTCCTCCTCAAACCTGTTCAAGATCACTGCCTGCAGCACAGGGTTGACAGGAGGGAACACAAGTCTCAGATGCCTCCAGCAGTGTCCAAGTGTTTCCCCAGATTCCCAGGGAAAATAGGTTACACTGACATAACATGGGGATGAGCTGAGGATGAGGATGTCTTCCCTTCTCCCTCCTCTCCATATGTAATAGCCCCAAAGATACCCAGATACTTCTTCCTGGTGCCAACAGATGGGATGAGATGTTTTGAAAGGGTTTTTGTACCTGTAGTAATGGTAGGTTAAATGGGAAATTCCTGTTGTGGCAGAAGTGATTTGGAGCTGTAGAGTGGATTGGAACAACAGCAAGAGTGAGTTTTGAACTTGTCACCATATGCATATCCTTAGAGGTTGTGTGTGTTCAGAATTCACAGTTCCTTCCTATTTGTCCTAAGCAGTTAGAAATTAATTATAATAAGATAAAACATTCAACACAATAGATAAAATGCTTGTCATTAAAATAGGTTTCCATAACTACAGAGACACTGATACCCATGAGGCATTAGTTAACAGACTTAAATTAAAAGTACATTTAAAACTAACAAGAGAAGCATTTTCATCATTGCTTTTGTTCACATTTATTGTCTGATTGATAGATTTTTTGCTTGTCATTTTCCTACCTCATTAGCTCTAACTCTAATTACAGTTGTTCTAAAATACAACTGTAACTAATTGTCTTATTAAATGTAGCTATCTGAATTCCAATTATGTTTCACCCTTACACTTTCATGGGATGCCAGAGAATTAACCTGTAGCATGAGAATAAGGACATTTGGCATGTCATTCAAGAGTTCTGAGGCTGCTTGCATTTGGGATTACTCTGTCACTATGCTGCTATATACCTTTTGGCCTCCTCCTGCTAAGACAGCTTTTTGGCAATGTGTAGTGCATGGAGTTAAACTCACAAGTCTTTGACTGAGAACTTCTGTAATACCACTGAGCTTTTTCTTTGACTTTTAGATAACATTGCCATGTATTACCTGATCAAATCCCAACTGTTTTGAAGTTATAAAAATGCAGACTGAATTTTGACATATCCGTTGCCTCTTATTTGCAAGATTAGTGGATGGGTGTTTTTTGGTCTTGTTTTCTTCCATGTCCAAGAACAAGATAAACTGGGGATTGAGCTGGATTTTTCTTACAGTGACTTCTTTTGGCATCTGTAGAGTTGAAAGGGGAATGAATATTTAACAGTAGTTAAATGGGAATCTAAATCTAAAGATGTATAAATTGCAAGAAAACTGCTGGGAGTGAATGCTGGGGTTTCACATCTCTCAGTTACTTTTCTGTGGAATGCTTTGGCAGTTTTTCCAGATTCTCTTCTACACAGGTTGTTCACTAGGATTTCTATGACTACTTCTTGTTTGGTTAGTTCATGTGGTAGGGGACTTTTTTTGGGAAAATAAGGGTGCAAGTACTGCTGAGTCCATATAAGGTCATCCAAGTTCTACATGATTAGTTTCACAGTCCCTTGTTTAGAAGATGGTATTAAAAAACCCCAATGAAAACCCAAACCACAAAATCAAACATACAAAAATTCCCAAAGCACATTTTGACACTTTAAAATAAAGAACCCTGAAGCTGAAAAGATTCCCTAATACAAAGTACTTGTGCAGTTTCAGTTTTTAATTTTTACCTTCTGCACCCGAGTTATCAAACAGTTTCCAGATATATTCTGCTGTACCAGAATCCCAAGAGATGGCTGACACCTTAGAGGCATGGCTCTCTCTTATAATGCAGTCCCAGAATAAGCCATCAAGTGGCACTGTAGGCACCATCTTCTCTTGAGGTCTTGTTTCCAAAATTTATTTTCCCATTGGCAGTGGATGTGATTTGTTTATTTTGCCTCTTGGGAATCTGTGTTTTTAATTTCCTTTCAACATGTGATTGCTTTTGTCCTTTGAGCTCAATGTTTTCCACTAGAATTTATAAACTAAGGGAGCTTTTTCCTTTGCTTTCTGTGCTTTAGTTCTCTCAAAGCAAAAGAAAATCTGTTGACCTTGAGCTTCTCTCTCTCCTGTTGCTTGCTTCTGGCATTGCTTTTATTGCTGGGACTGTGTTTTAGTTACAACAGCTCAGAAAGACACTGTTATGATCCAGAGAGACTTTCTTCCATTTGAAACCTTTCCTAACTCAGAGCTTCCCTCATTTGCCTTAGCTGTGAGTAATCTGTCAGCCTAATAGGCAAAGCTGCAGGTTGTAGAATATCTTGTGGAACAGGCCAATAGAGGAATTTATTAGAAATACACTTCAGGTCAGTGATTCCAAAGAGCTGAACATTTTAATAATTCAACAATTTTAGCCTATTAATTATATAGCAAGGTGTAAGCAAGCAGCTGTGGCAGTCCTAGTTTTCTGGCAAGTAGCTGCTGATAGAACTTCTTTTCCAGCATAGGGACATGGACTGCTAAATGAAGCCCTCCTCTTTTTAGATTGTTTGGTTCAGCACATGAATGCTGGGCATAAACCAGGACATAAATGTATAAATTCTGAAAGCACTTTGTTTTAATAGCATGGTAACAAATTTTATTGAGTTCGTGCCTCCAGATGGATTACCCCTCATGAATAATGGATTTTCATTTGTAAGGTTATATTGGCTGTGAATTACTGCAACTTTTCAAACCATCTGGTAATGGAGTGCCCCAGTTTGGGATAACTAAATCCTGGAGGTATTTTAGGGTCTTATATTGTATGCATTCATCTCTAGCTGGTCTGTTTTGAGGCTTAAGGATATGTAGCAGGTAGCTTTAATGTTTAAAATACTTAAAGCTTTTGATGAAAATTTGCTAACAAATCTTTGGGAGGGACAGTTTGACCTCAATCTCTAATGTCTTGCCAACATGATTCTACATTTTCCTTGTAGAAGAAACCTCTGGGTTTTGCTTTAGATTTTTTTTCTGAATCTGTAGAATTATTTTATACACCATGGTATTTTCAGACAATTTTTAAGTAAGCTGAAAAACTTAAAATAAGCTAATGAATGATCTGAGCATATTTATGTGCAGTTTAGATTTAGCTGCCTAAAGATCTTTATATATATTTACTTCTATACATAGAGATCCACAGATCAACACATCACATAAAGAGTGCTAATTTTAACTATAAGAAAACTCTGAAATGTTACTCTGGATGAAATAAGCAAGTGAAAATTCCTTGAGGAAAAGATGGAACTGAATGATATTGGTCACATATTTGTAAAGTAACCTTAGCATCTTGCAAAGCAAGGATCTTGGGAACTGTGTAAATCCTCTCATTAATCTTCTGGTCAATCAGCTAATGCAGTTATGGTTTAATATTTAGCTCTGTTATAAATGAAAATTTGTCCAGCCAAATTAATATGAAAAAATAAAAGATTTATTTTGCAATCAAATTCTATCTAGCCAGCCACAAGGAAAGAACAGAACCGAGCCTGGGGTCGGCCCTGGGTGTGCAACACGGAGTCAGCCTCAGCAGAGGTTTTCCTCTCTGCCCACACACCTCCATCCTGGCACAAGCGGTTTTTATAGGGAAAATTCCGCCTGAGGCCAAGATTTCAGTAATCAGTCTTTTCTTCTATTCAGAGTCCATATGTTAATAAGATTTTCTTTTTTGGTGATGAGGAAGAACAATTCAGTGTCCGGAGTTTGTTGAATCCCTTGATGAAATTTACGGGAATTTGGGAACGCTGCATTCACATGTATCTGCCTGAGGATTTCCATGATTTCCATCTCGGGTCGTTCACGCGAACGATCAGCACCTGGGGTTCCTGTATTTCCCCAGACATGGCCCATCTCCTGGCCAGCCGTACCTTCTTATTTGTAAATCAGTTTCCAATATACACCCGGTCTTGCCTGCAAGGGTGGGGGAAATCCTAATACAAACGTGTATACTCTAACAAATATTCAATATCACATATATCACATTAGAAATGGCACAAATTATATCTACTACATATAACAGCTCTCATCAATATAGCCACATGGGAATGCTGCATTAGAAAAATTGAAATATTTTATAGCTCAAAAGAGTCTTGGCCATTTTGTGTATTTTCTATATAACAATATATTTTTATATGGAATATAACATTTATATCAAATCGTCTTTAGAGATATAATTTGTAGAGTCTGAGTGCTGTGTATCATGCAGTTTCAGTTTTCCGTATTGATTTTTATTAGTCTGGAGAGAAGACAGCAAATATTACCTTTTAGAGACTCTGATACTGTGATGTGAAAAAGCTTCACCTCACTGAAGTGATTGAATGATATGTCTCAAGCAGCAGCAGGATAGTAAAAAGCAAGTAAAAAGCAAGATAGTAAAAGCAAGATAATTCGCAGTGATGTGCTGGAGCACACCAGTACTACTGAGGCATTGAAGGAGGGGAAGTTTTGTCAGGGACAGATACTGAGATTAAATGAAAGTCTGGTCTGAATAACTTTCAAATTAAAACAAAAATTCAACTTTTGAGATCAAGAAATGTGGGGTTTTTACTAAAGTATCTCATGTAGCTAAATTAAGAAAAAAGCACACATTCCTGTATAATTTGAGGAAATATTTGGTTGTATTATTACGAGATTTCTTTCCTAAGGACTCAAGTTTTTCACAGGTAAGTGAAAAGACCTTTCACAGTCATTTTTATAATAATTAGCTAGCTTCATTTAAAGTGTGGTTTGTTTTTTTTTTTTTTTTTTTTTTTTTAACAGTAAAGTTAACTTTTAAAGTTAACTAGGGGGAAGGTAGGCAGGAAAGAGATGAGTCAAACATAATTGGAGACTGATGTTTTACAGACCTACACTGTCCTCTCCTGTTATATTTTTAGTGAAAGGACAGTGTCTGACAGATGAAAAACATTTATCTCTCAAGAATGTGTTTGGCTGATGCATATAATCAGTCATTTCTTGCTGTGCCATTATAACCTAAAGGCATCTCTAAGAGCTGTCATTTCACTGCCTGACACCACCATTCAATCCTGAATGGGTTATAGAGGAGAGAGTTGGCAATTTTGAAGTGGTGTTTTCTCTTGGATTTTGGCTAGGTAGTGTCCTTCCTCCTCCTGACACTATCATTATTATTATATATTTCAGTACCTCTTCGTAAATCTCGAGTCAAATATGCATTAGTACTGTTCTTTATTCTCCACAGGTTTCTTACATTTACACATGAATGATGTAGCAGCAGTCTTAATTTCTAAAATACAAGATTTCTGATTGTTATGGGGAAGGCAAGAATGTTTTCCTTATGTTAAGATACCTAACCTAGATTCTCTGAGTAGCCCTTTGTAGGTGTTTCTCTTTCACCATTAATTACTTAGGGAATTCAAACAGAATCTGCAAATCACATCCACTATGATGGTCTTGAATAGTCATACAGCATGCACTAAAAATTTACTGATTGAATGGATATCCACAAAAATGGAAATGTAGAGACACTGTGTGCTCTCTAGTTGCTCTTTTATTATTTTACTTAATACTTGTCCATTCTTTTGACTGATGTCAGCACTGCTGACATTTACAGATGTGGGTTCATGCATCTCTCTTGTTTTCATTTACAAAGAAAAAAAGAGAGGTGTTCTGGCTTGTAGCCCACGCCAAGTGCTCCTTATACCTGAAATTAATTAATATAAACTATTCAGAGCCATTACTGTCATTTATTGAATGTATATAATGGTACTCAGTAAAGTGTTCCTTATGTTAAATCCCCCTTTTTTTTTTGTCTTGGTGCAGGTGGAAGAGGGCTGGTGGGAAGGTATACTTAATGGAAAGACTGGCATGTTTCCTTCCAACTTCATAAAGGAGCTCTCTGATTCTGATGAAGTTGGAATAGCACAGGAAGAGCAAGTAAAGTCAAGTAAGGAAAAATTTATTATTGATGTTCTGTATGTATGTTTGTCTTTAGCTCATAACACATTGATAGGATAGCACATCCTTATCTCTTGCTTGAAAGTGTTGAATGCCATGTTCTTAATTTATGCTGAAAGGGTCAGATGATGATTTATGTATACCTGCAGTGCTACCTGAGTTGCCACTTTGTCAGTGCTCTCTGAGCTGTGTAAGACTTGCTGAGCCACAACAGACTAAGAGAAGACAGAAGGCAATGATGATAATGACTGCATTTGTATTTCACAATTAGTTACAAGGGATTTTTTGTCTTTAGACGTGGAAAGTACAAAGTAGCTTATTTAAAGTGGAGGGATTAAAGTGCCATGTTTTCTGTAACAACTCCAATAGACTAAGGATTCATAATTACTGGTGTGGGACATGCAGCACTTTTTCCCTCCAGGTGCTGAGCATGTTTCTATCACCTCCAACACCCACTGCCCCAGCAGCCAAAGGGAAAATGGCCAGAAATGGGACATGGACTTTGTTCTCTCATTTACAGTGGGCCAGTACTGCTACAGGTGAAAAGCATGTTTGGTAACTAAGTTTACAATAGTATAAGCATGGGAGTGGGTTGTCCTATTTAGAACTATAATCTGAACCAAAAGTGTGCTGTTACATGAAAGAGAAAGCTGTCCGTCTTCATGTTTTTTATGTTCTTCAAGCAGCTACTACTTTTTTTCCCTAATTCAGTGATCAAATCTGAATTTTCAGAGAAAAAAAAGAAGTAATTTCTATTTGCATATTTCAGGCTAATTCCACAATACTTGCAAAGGTCTTCCTATTTTTAGCACTGCAGATGTTCATTGCTATGTAACATTCTCCTGAGATCTGTAAATAAACAGAAGTCAAACTGCTATCAAGATCTTCTTAGCTGATTTCAGCTGAAATTTACCAAAACCTTTATAGTTTACTCTGTCAATAAAAGGTAGAAAGTTACAATACCTTTTTCTTTTTTCCTTATTTTTCCACTTATGGCAAATTTGTCACCCTTATTCCATACCACCAAAATAAGATCCCTAAAGCCCTACATTTATATTTTTTTGTAATAGAGTACATTTTCATGTGTGAATGTGTACTGGTGACCTAGGCTTGCGGTCAGTGCTGTTCAAAATATGTAAATGTAACATTCCTTCAGACTGGAATGAACATATTTTAAACTTGAAAATTTTGATGTGACGGAGAGAGAGAAAGATCATTAAGTGAAGGTGCATGTTTCAGTGAGAGTGCAAACTGCTTTCTATAACCTGTATATGCTATAATGAATTATGTTCATTATAAATACAGTGAGTCTTGGAAGAACTAATTGTGTAGAGTAGTTTCAGCTCTGGAGTCTGTAGTGTTTGGTTCACATAAGTGAACAAGGTAGGTGATAATGTTTGGAATGGAATATCCCGGGGTTTTTTTATATGAATAAATGAGTATTCTTTCTTTTCAGGTTTTTTACTTCATAATAAGCATCCTAAAAATGGCTTTTAACAAAAACATGCATTGGAGTGTGCAAAAGCAGCCACAAAGCATTAACTCTTGACGTCCATTATGGCCCATGCTTTGTTCAGTCCTGGGTTTGTGTGCTGGTTCTCACTGTTAGTGGAAACCAAACCTGTGATACTTTTATGGAGAAGACAGCAGTAACACAAATATTGGTTTTGCATCTTTAAATAAATTTAAGGTAACTGTAGGTGGGAGATGGGTTTCCTATTTTCTTGTATTTAATTTAATTATTTAGAGGTGCTTTGTGGCTATCTAAGATGAGGAGCTATTAGATATACCTATAAAACAAAAGAACACTGTAAACCTCCTGACAGAGAAACAGTGATTGAAGGAATGCTGAGATTGTTATGGGGGTTTAAATTTTTTAGATTTATTTTTTCTTCAAGTAAAATTATCAATTTAAGAATTAATTGCATTCCCTTAGGACAATTATGGGAAATACACATCAATTACATTTTTTCTGTATTTGGTTTATGAGATTGATACAGCTGTTGCTCTCCAACACATAGTGCTTCATGAGGCTCTATTCAGGCACACTGAATATCTGGATTTGAAAATCTCTGTAATCAGATTGCAAAAATTTCAACAAGTTTACACAACTGACTAGGAATGATAACCTCATTCCATGTTTAGTCTGAAAACATAGTAAAGTAAAAAATAAACAAGTAAACCCTGGAAGATTTGGCCATCAGGCTAATAGCACTGTTGAAATGCCCTAGTCACATCTCAGAAATGTGTGTATTCATGCTTCTAAATCAGCTCCTTCCTCCATGGATGACAAGATGTGACAGCACCTTAAATCTGCAGTAACTCCTTTTTGTTTCTTTGCAAACTTTGAGTGCATCTGTATCATAGGACTTTGCAAGGTGGAATCGTTGAATATGAATTCTAAATTATGAAGTTGGCCCTTGGGTGAGGGGTTGTACCCAGGCATTGAACTCAGACCTTGGGCAGCCACTGAGATTCTGCTCAGCATTCAGAGGAGACTAGAAAGGGTCAGGGTTTGGCTCTGCAATCCTGAGCAGCAGCCTTGAACTGTTCTGCCCAACATGTAAAATGGATAAGGTAATTCTTGGAAGATTTACTGTGAGACCTAGGAAAATAGCACAGGATATGTGGAGAACTGGCACTGGGCAAACCCACAAATATTTTTAAGTTAATAATTAAATTTAATGTCTTGGTTAAATTTAATTAAACTTGATTTTTAAATCACATTTTACTGACCATCCTTAAAGAGAATTTTTGAAGGGCAAATGTAATTTTGGTGAACTCAAAGAAAAAGAAATACAGAAAAGAAAAATAACAAAACTTGGCTTTTTAGAAATAAAGTTAATAAAATCCCATATTCCTATGTCTTTCTGTTACAATCTACACCAGCCCCAATGGAGATAAAAATGTCTGCTTTTATTGGTTTTGTTGTGTCCATGTAAATTTTATGGCAGATCAGAGTAAACAGACAGAAGAAATTATCTTGGTTTCTTTTCATGCTCTGCCCTAGACAAACCTCAGAAGCTTGTTCAGAGCAAAAATTTCCTTTTTTGAAAATGCCTGGGGCTAGTTTTAGAAGTGCCAAATATTTCTGAATCCTGACTGTGGGACTTAGCTTGAACCTTATTTGGAATGGGTTGGGAACCCGTGCCTCCCTTCAATGATGTGTGCTCAGCAGGCTGGAAAGCAAGACTGTTGCAAGATCAAAATATTTGGGGGGTTGTTTGATTTTAAAGTATAAGTCCCAGCTGTAAGGTGATTGCCACATTTCTTGTCTTCAAAGCCGCATTTTGAAATGTGAGTACAGTACAGAATGTGAGGATCAGGGTACTCTTAGAGTAAGCAGCAGTTCCTTGCTCTTTGAAGCATGCTCTTAAATGAAAATATTGCTTTTCTTGGGCCAACTGTTACAGCATGAACATGTAGTATACATTATCAATTTATTACTGTATTAGATACATGGATTATAAGATGATTTTCTATATTTCTCAGAGATACAGTATTTTAAGACTATTTTCAATACCATTTCTTGTCAATACGGCCTGTTGAGAAGCAAAAAGTTTACATGCAGTCAAAAAAATTCTATTTGAGATAACCACAATTTCACATGGAGGAGGTTATTTCAAAAAGCATTCAGTATGTTCACAGCAATGTCATGACAGCATTGAAAGGGTGGCCTTTTGTATCTTGCTCTCTCTGATGTGTGTTCTCTGAAGTACAGCTGGGCCTCATGGTATCTATCAACTATTTTTGGGACCTGTTAGTGATGACCCCTGAAAAATCCTGGCTGCTGGAGTTAGAACTGTTGATAGACTCATCAGCTGATGCTTCAGTCAAGCAACCTCCTCTGTTTTGAGTTCTTAAAACTTTATTTTTCCATTACTGTTTCTCTGGCTCTCCACAGTGTCATCAAGCTTAACTTACTTTTCTCTTAGCAGTGGGTTGATGTTTGACTGTTTTAATAGCACTCTTTTAATAGTATCCTGTAAAAAGAAAGTGTAAAGATGGATTTCTAGCATTTTTACTTCCATTACACAAAGCAATGGAAACATTTTGTTATTAATTAAACTCCAATAGCAAACCTAAGAATTAGCTTATTATAATATATAAATAAGTATAGTTTTTTATTGTCTGAAAGTCCAACAGAATGATATACAAAAGAAAAAAATCCCATGCATTTTTGGTACCAAACTGGGTGCGATTCTGTGTTGCAACAGTTCACATATACTGGCTATTTTGCTGTAAAATTTTACCAAAGACATAAATTTTTGTGATGGTATACCTTGGGTGGATTTGGAACAAGCTGGCATTGGTATATTCTTGGGCTTGCCTGGGTTTTTAAACCTGACACACAAAACACTTCAGCTGCTCATGCCTTTACCTTCATTTGAATTTCATGTCCTAAATATCAAAGTATGAGCTATCTCACTAGCAATGAAAAAAAAAAAGGATTTTTTAATAAAAACCCTATCTTAAATATGTCAGATGAGAAGTGGGATTTGGTTTTTGTAGTTTTACTCTGTTCCCTCCTAATTTTAGAATTTTGCTTTTGCTAATGTCAATGCCAAGTCACACATCATGATTAAGCTTTTAGCTGAAAAACTGATTTATTCAGGTTTTAGCATCCTATCCTTCCTACTAAGCACTATTTAAGACCAGTTCCCATGTCCAAAATATTTCCAATAAGTGATCTTGGAAAGATGCAGTATTTCTGATGCTCACAGGATCCTGGTACAATAAAGAGATGTGAGTATTTCATTGTCCTGTTTGGATGTCAGCTGTGCTTGTTCAAGTGCACTACATCTGCAGCAGCAATGTTGAGCCACTGTGAGTACATCGTTGCAGTAATAATATTTTTTCAGGATTCCCTTGTGCAAGGCTGCAAAAGCCAGACAAATAATTTTATTTGCAAGTCTCACAACTTGATGGACAACAGACCAAACCTAAGAAGGATGCATTCTGTTGGACATTGTAAATAACAGCTTTAGCAAATCATGAGATTCTGTTATCTGACATACATGCAGTAAGAATATTTTAACTTCATGTACAATCAGATATGTTTGCTAATGTGCTCCTCATTTTGCTAATGAGGCTTTTAAATGTCAGTGACTGAAAATACAGATTAAAACCTCTTCCTTTCCCTTCTTTTTACCATCATTCGATCTCTTTACCCCCACCCTGCCCCTCTCCTTTTTTTTGTCTTTCCGTCTCTTGCCTGCTGTCAGGAAAATCTGCCTTTGAAGGGACAATTCTGTACAGAGTGGCACCGGCAAAGATTGACAGCTACAGACGTTATAACAGTGAGTGTGTTGCAAAATCATCAAGCAATAGCTTCAGTCCTCTGAACTTGTTTGATTTATCTACACTTGTAAATTGTGCCACTGCTACCCACTTATGGCTACTCCACGTGCATATATCTGTAAGCTGAAGTCAATTTGCTGCTGATGAACTGCCCAGCCTTAATGCAATGAGAATGCACCTGTTCCTCCTGTGCATGTGTGTGTTCTGTGTCCATACAATGTATGTGTATAAGCCCACTGTAAATTGTGAATTGGATGTTTTGGTCTCAGCTGTGGATTGAATCTAAGACCATTTAGTCCCATCGCTTTTGCCCCTGAAACGAGAAGACTGTTGATAATCACCACTAATCTTTGAATTAAAAGTCAATCTGCTCTAAAAGTAAAGTTCCCATTGTGATTGTTGAACTCATAAAGTGTGCTTTGTTTCTCTTAAAAAATATTTTAGCTTTTGACTTGTTTGAACTTTTTTTTTTTTTTTGGTAATTTTAAAATTTATTTTTACTTTACTGCATGCTCTTCATTTGGCATTCTGTCTTTGACAGTTATTACTCACAGCATTCTGGCTGATATGTTTTTTCTGCCAAGGAGAGTAAAAGATATAAAGCTATTTTCATTTCATGTTCAGGTTTTTGGCTTCTGCTTTTTAAAAGAAGGGCACATCCTGCTTTTCGTGTTCTTTTGCAGCCCTGGTAATATAGAAAAAAAAAAGAGAGAATGGTTATATCAGATGCAAGACAGAGGAAGCAAGGAAGACAGAAATCTGTCCTTCCACCTGTTTCCTCATGGAGAAATCTAGCTAAAAGATTCACATTTGGTGTGTCTAAGTGCAAAGTGTTCAGTCCTGTCTTCCAGTGAACAGGATGTTGTGCTGGCTTTGGCATCTGCTTTTGCCACAGAGAGCTTTCTCTTGAGAGGATCCATGCTGTGCTGCCCTTCTTCCTCCTTAATGGGTGGGAGTGTATGATCTGCCTCTGAGGACTTCTGTCTTATGCACGTTGACAACGAAGAATGAAGCGATTGAAGTCACATTATTCTATTCTGGTATTTGCCCTTACACCTTTTTTTTTGTTTTTCTTAACAAATCTGATCCTTTTTTTGAACAAAAATCTATGTGAATGTGTGCAACTCTGAGTATTTAATTGTGGAAAATTATCTCCATGTCTACCAGAATTCATTTTGCAGCTCTTTGCAAGCTCCAACCAAACCCTTGCTCTGGCTGGAGCAGACCATGTGGCTGGTGGCCTTCAAATTTTTGTGCTGCTTCTCACCTCCATGACTGATTATCAATCACTCAAATTTCATGCTTCTTGCAGAATTTTTAGAGCCTCATGTTCTCTAATCCACTCATCTGATGAGCATAATAAGGATTTCTGAAGTTAATTTCCAGTGTGCTTGACTTTGGACATAAGGATGAAGCTTCAAATCAGATTCAAGGTCTGTCTTTGGAGCCTTTAATTTCGCAATCCTACTGGGTAGTCCTGCGCTAACATTACCTTTCAAAGTTTTCCAAAAGCCTACTTTCCATGCCCAGCCTGTTATTTATTAAGGTCCAAATCATTCTTCCCCTCTTTTCAAGTCATCTAAAGTAAGCATAACTGAAGCCAGGAATAATTCACTCACCTTTCCAGTTGTGCTAGAGCTCTGCATTTAGTTCTTCTTGTTAATCATACTGGCCCACTGTTGTGCCATGTCACAGAAAAGAAATTGCATCAAACTGATTTCAGAGTACAGGATTGGATGGGTGTCTAGACGAAAGCTTGATAACCAGCTACAAGAAGACAGCTTAACCCACAGTAGGTTGTCTCACATTGCTCTGGGCAAACACCCTTCTAAACTTTTTAAAGCTGATAAAAGATATCTGTTTATACTACCTGGAGTTGGTTTACTTAGAGGTTTAATTCTACCTCCCTTGGCATTTGGTTGAGACTTGCATGTTTTTTCATTCTGCAGAGGTGTGTTACTTTCTCCATAAAGCTGCATTCAGAAGGTCAGATATCCAGCTACACTTATGGCCTGTTAGTTGCTTCTTGAGTTGGAACTGGGACTGAGGGATTGGTAATACATAAATCAGGCCAAATGGGGAAGTCTTAAACAAAACAAGGGTTTGCACTTTTGTTACTATCAGAGATGCTCTTGCCTAAACTAACACACAAAAAGGAGGATCCCTTACTCTCCCTGCTCCATCTCTTTACAGCTCACTTCCTGCAAACTTACTCATCATGCTCTTCCTGAAGAAGCCAACTGGTGGTGCAGCCAGCTTCTTCCATTTCATGTCTTCTCTGTAGTCCATGTTTTTAGGCAAATGTCCATGAGCTTACGTCTCCAGTGAAAACCATTTGGAGACATTCCACGGAATTGTTTTCATTTAGGAATGTCTGGTTAAAACAACTCATAGCTGCTCTAATTTCAGCTTGCTGATTTCTCTGTGAATTAAGCTGGAGTCAGTTAATAACTTTAGATTAGTTATACCTAGGCAATGCTTGGATTCACCTGTATCACATTGCATGAAGTCTTGCTCAACTTTGTTATCAAGCTTAGAGCTTTTACTTCACAAACACATGCTCAGTGCTCAGTGCTAAATACTTTTATTTTGAAAGCCATTTTCCAACTGCTGCGTTTAAAATATGTTTTCTTGCTTAACCAAGTCCTGTAATAACTGTTGAATTGGTCAGTGCTTCTAGAGATACCTTCCACTGAAATATGCAAGATTATCTCCTGCAGAAACACCCAGCCTTGCCTGTATATGCTGACATGGCTTTCTTGGTCATGATGTATGCCAGGCTCCGCTCAAAAACAATTCCAGTTCCTTTGGCATTCTGCTCATCAACCTGCTGTCAGAAGTCTTTGCTACTGCATATGCTGGAAGAAGAGAGACACACAGCAACAAAAAACTTGTCATTTTGTTGATCACAGCCCTCTTTTCTCTCATCCTGCAACTTTCTTGCACCTCCACAAACAACGCTTCTTGGATTTCTAATTTTTTTATTTTTACTGATTTAGTTTCTCTTTCTTGCTTCGCTTTATTTTTCTTCAAAGATGCAATAACTGAGGAACAGTGCAGATAAAATGCTTGATTTGACAAATCTTTGCCTCTCTTTCCTTATATGTGGATCCACAATGCTGTCAGTAATAGCTATTAGATATAATGGAAGAAGATCAGGATCGTTGAAACAGAAACGTTCGTGAGTAACCTCAATTGTGCTTTGTGTTTCCTATTGCTCCACCACTTTTTTTACCCTTTTTTTTGTCTCCCTCCCCTTAATTCTTGAGGAATTATGGCTGGTCAGAGTTCTGAGAAATCAGTATGTTTTGATTTCCATCCATTTATGATGTTGTAAACCCCATTTAGGAGTATCGGAATGTGAGCAAAGTTCAATGAATGAGCAAAATGTGGATTTTAACAGTTCTGAAGAGAGGACAGTTACAACTTTGTGTTTCACCTCACCTTGTTACAACTTGCTTGCAAAAAGGAGCTTGTATCAAATACACAGCTGCTACAGATGCTGCAATGAAAAGATAACATCTGAGAAAGAAAAATTATAAAATTGTGGGAGAGAAATTTTCATGATTAAAAATTAGCATCCTGTTTGTGGAGAACAAATGTACAGATGACATGGGATTGGGGGCCATGTGTGGAAAAATCATGTTGACTGGGGTGAAATGTGAAATCCTTCTGCTGTTTGGAATTCCCATTACCAAGTGGTTTTCCATGAGTTTCACAAAAGATCGGTGCTTGGTGAGTGGCAGGTAAAGAACCCTATTGGCTGTGGCTGCTTCCCTCTCCTTCCACGTGTGATAACGTGCCTGTATTGGGTGAAGGGGGTGAAAAAAATAGTCCCCGAATGAAGAGGATAATGGTTGTCTACAGTTGTAGAGCTCCTGAACGAATGATTGTTCCTGTTTGCTCTTACAGTACTTGGGGAAGTGGCTGGGGAGGTGGGGAAGCCACCAAGTTCTGCACTGATGGGTCTGTGCTCGTGCTGCAGAAGATGCGTGTGCTGCATTGCCCTCAATGCATGCTGCTAAATGGGGCCAGGCACCACTCCCCTTCCCCTTGCATGACCACTTCTGCAAGCATAGAAATCGTGGGGTATTTCTTATGTGGCAAGAACTGTTATGCAAAGGAATATGAACATGTTGAAAGCAAATGACAAAATATTTAGCTAACAGTTACATTTTTCAAGGAATGACCGAGAATAACAAATAATTACTAATGTTGAGATAGTCTCCCTCAGCTATTTGTACATGTATAATCACTCTTGGTAAAGAAGCATAAATTTGTGTTTTGAAAGAATGAATTTATTAATCTTTAAACTAAGAAGAATTAACAAGTCTTTCTTCTTCAGTAGTATTTAGAATCCAATTTCATTTTCTTTGTTTGGATTTTTTTATGATACTGGAATGCTGGGGAGGGCTTCAACAAAATACAGGATTTTGATAAAAAGCAAGCTCAAGACTAATACCTTATAGGATGTGGGTATTTGTTCTGTGTTCACCAGTATATGAGGAAAAGGAAGAAGGACAGTTCCTGTCTCATCTATTGCAATTACCATGTATAACTTCACCACCTTTGTCACTCAGATCGGTCACCCGGGTGTTCCATGGTGTCGTTCTCTAAATTGAAGGAAAATCATGTTTCCCCTTGCTTTCCTTCCCTTCCATAAAAGTAGAAAAACTCAATAAACTTTGTTTACAAATTTCTTTGTTCTATCAAACACAGTTGGCAGTGTTTCTGTCTGGCTGCCATATCAAATCAAGAGATCCTTTGCATTGTCTCAGGTGTGTGCCTCTGAACAACTGCCACCACTTAACAAAGCTGGGAAGTGCTTAGAGGACCAGAACACCACAGGCCTTTACTGTGTCAGTGGTCAATCTTTTGCCCAGGGCCATACATTGTCAGCAGAGAGAGCAATTCAGAATAAAAGCCAAAAATTAAATTGCCAAATAATCACTCAAAATAGAAAGCTCTGTAACCTTAGAATGTATTTCCTTTTCTCCCC